GCGGTCTGAGTTCCAAACAAACAATATATAATCAATTAAAATGCTTAGTATAGGTCATGTGCCAGTTCAAAGTTCATTTGATTAGAAAACAACTTAACTGAAACGACAGCTAAATTTGTCAGCAGTCTTAAGTAACAGCAGCAGTAATAAAGATTAACAGAAAGACTTTGGGGAGATGTAGCTATACTCTATTATTTTGGCTTCTATCGTTATTTGGAGAGCACTGTTTAGTCCTTTTATACAAAGGAATCTCCACCCATTTCATCCCTTTTTTTTGGTTGCTGGATCCATTAAGACCACTGACAGACATTCAGTTAAAGGTATGATGGGATCCAACCAGCAACTCCAACAATTGTGCCTCCTGCCATGCCACACATTCATGCCAGGACATGCAATTTTGGGATCAGGAAATCAGGTCCCAATCAAGCCCTATTTGCCAGTGCAGGGGGAGCCCAGGATCAAGATTCTATGCTCCCCCTACACTGACAAGCAGGGCACAATTGAGGTCTGAACCAGCAAAGGTGCCCAACAATCAGGTGCTTGTTGGTTGGCTCTGGGGACCCACCAGGTTGGAGTCACTGGAGCAGCTACCAATCAGCTAATCACTGGCTGAACTAGGACTGCACCAGGACTTAAACACGCCACAGTACAATCCCTGCGAACTGACAATCAGCTGATCAATGACAGGTAGGGACGACACCAGGGCCCATTCAAGCCCTGGTACACTCCACCTGGCCACATATTTATTTTGAGGTGCAATGGAAACCAGTCACAAAATTATTATAAATTTTCTATGTAATAATTTTGTGGATGGCTTTGCTTTTTGTCACACTATTAACTGTGTGAATGTCTGGCTAGATTACACTTTAAGATGCAATTAACTGGTTAATCGCATATTAAGTGTAACATCTGCCACAGACCTAACAGTTTCCAGTCCCTACACAGTGGAACTACATGTGGAATATGAATGTTCCTCACCTTATGGTCCTGATTTCATTCAGAAAGAGAAAGCTAATACATCTTCCCAGGAACCCAGCAGTTGATCGTGATGCAAAAATCTAATAAACAGCAGAGTCAGTACCTGCTTGCAGTCTCATTTCTGAGTCTTTCTAGCAACTGCGTGCTCTGCAAACTTCCTTCCAACATTATTTCCATAACAATCCTGTTTAGGTGCTTATGGTCAAGAAGAGTTCAATCCAGATGACATCCCAATTAAAAGGACACTCATGTCCAACATAACAGAATTGTTGTACTTCACTTTCCTTTTCTGAGCATTCTAGCTAAATACATACCTTCTTTAAAGATTTCATGTAGGCCACTGCTTTCTTCTTGTACTGAAGCATACACTCAGCTGATAGAGGGCTGATGAACTCTGTTCCTCCCTTTGGCCCATAGCTCAATGAAGCAGTGAAGTGGTCCAAGTTGTTGCTAAAGAATGAAGCAATCTAGACATGTCAAGATAGAGTTTATTTTAAATAGAAAATATGGCACACACCAAAACAGCTACTTCAAAAAGAAACAGAACATTCAGTGGGACTGAAGTTCATGGCAGAGCAGCAAACACAGATAAAGGGGCTCTGAAGAACTGCTACCCAGGTGCCACTATCAAGTGGCAGATCACCTTTTAAATATGCACCTTTGGATGATATCAAAAATGCATCAACACTGCAAACATTCAAACAACTTTTGAAATGAGGGCTAAATATAGCTTGGAATAAATCAGATCTTTATGTACTTAGTGACTTCCTGCAATCTTAATGTACTTGCTTAACTTTTTCAAAAGATTTTTAAATACAGATTCATGATTCCATCATGTTATGGCTAAGCAACATTACCTTGCCTGCTCCATTTGTTAAAGCCACCACAGATGATAAGATGCAGTCATTTGTAGTTATAAGTTTCTGCGTGGCTGTTGGAAGCTCATGTTCTAAGGTAGCTTTCTGAGTGTAGTGCTTGGAAATTTCTAAAATGAAAAGCAAATTAAGGTGTAGTAACTGTCTACATATTACATCACACAATAAAAGCCCTTTGAAATGCTCACAGGTAAGGAAGGCAGCCATTTAAATTGTGCAAATACCTCCAATCATTTGCACAGTTCCAAGGATTTCAATATTAAAAAGGCACTTAGTTCAATTTAAGCATGCTGGCTAGGTTATGAAGGACCGGCCTGTTCTCAAAGTACTGGCACCTCATTAAGGCTCCTTATCCTGTTACTCAAGAGCACCTTGTTTCTAGAAGCAGCCTCCAAATTCACAGGATCTAGCCAGCTTCAACGATGCTAGCAGCACAGTATTCACAGCAAATGAAAAGGGCTACAAGAATTTAACATCAGGCAAGTTTCTGAGCACCAAACAAGTGTGCTGCATGCAGCTGTACTCTTACCTGTCATGCTGTCCACACCTAAGCAAATCTTTATTTTCAAATCCAATCAATGTTTCTTCTTCCTTTCCTCAGCCTCTGAATCTCTCTCCCCTTTTGCTAGGTTGTAACTATTTTACCGTAAACATGATTTGTATGAAAGATTAATCTGGGTACTTCTAAGGCCAGTCCTCCATTGCTGTAGAACAAATGCCTCAGTTTATGCTCAGTAAAATCCAGAGAAGTCTGGCATTAATTCCATTTAAGAAGCTAAACTGTGCGCTGTACCCCACACTTCATGGCCAGATTGCCAAAGGGACTGTCATCCCCACACTGGGCTTCTAAAAATGCACGAAAGAGCTGCTATTGTTCTCAGTTTAGGATGGGATCATCCTCAACTCTTCCCCTGACTTCAATACAAGTTCCAGCCCCTGACAGCTTACCAGGTACTGGGCATTTTTAGAAACCAAATCCTAAACAAAAAAATGACTTGCTTTGTCCTGTGGGTAAAATATTTATACTGAGTTAAATATCTAGCTACTTTTTCTGAACTATGCTTATGTGGGAAATCCAATCCCAAACCATCTACATAGCTTTTCATAATGTTATTTCTCCTTTGCACCCTAGTCTTCGCTTGGTAGGCAAGCAATCCCTTAGTCTCTCTAAATAAGTGTGCCTGTGCTTCTCAAGATGTTTATACAACTGTTGTGTCACTGATCATTTGTCCAGGTGGTAAAGAGTATATATATAAAAAAAGTAAGATGAACCAGCAATCTCAACATTTTAAAAGACAAGAACTCTGTAGTATATAACAACACTGTTAGCAGTTTACCACTAAAACTGAACATTAAATATTACCTCATTTAAGATTATAGACGGGTATATGTTGATGATAAGAGCTGATTAGGATACAGTATCAAACTAAGTCACTAAGCTTACCTCTCCTCACTGGCAACAAAAAACTTAACAGCCAAACATGCCATTAGAGAGGTAATTAGTTATGGCAGTCTGTAGTTAGGCAGACTTCTGCACTGTCCTCACGTACTGTAAAACAGCCCTTATCCTGCAGAGTTAAGAACTGCCTCCCCCCTCTAAGTTAGTGACCAACTAGCACTGTTTAATGGGAAAAAAAAACAGTCCCATAGACAGTACTGTCTACTCAGAGATAACTATGGTTTCAGAGAGAAAGTTAGGAATGCCAGCACCAAGGCTGAGCAGATCTTAAGTTTCTCAGTTATTTACAAACTAAGTTCAGGGGGAAAAAAACAAGCAAAAGACACCCTTTAGTTTCAAATGGCTAAGACTAAATCAGTTATGAATTGCATTGACCCACAATTACAGACTTCACAAGTGGGTACACTGCGTATTATTTTCATAAGAGCAAACAGAGCACTGATATTATAAAAATGCTGCCCTCTGAACCACCCAGAACACTAGTCTAATACCAACTCACAAAAACAAAGCAGAATGGCACAGCAGCACAACAGGCATATACAACCCTACAGACCAAATTATGTTGGTAGGTTTTTGGTTCTTTTGGATGTAAACTGTGCCCATTTACAAAACTATGGTCTCTAAATAGCGGAAACTGGGGGAAGAGGAGCAGGGAACAAATCAGCCTGGCTAAACTGCATAACTTTCTCCCTTATTTGCCGTCTACCAGAGATACAAGGCACAGATGGGCCTGTCTTCTGACTCAGCATTTCTTATGTTACTGCATGTGTGTGCGTGTATACATATTCCCTACTTTACAGAATTAAACTGTGGTCTACTTCAAAAGTTTTACCACTTAACTGGTCTCACCTTTCATAACTTCATGAAATTCATGAAGCCCTGCAGCAATGTTGGCAAATACTGAACCATAATTTGTCCGAAGCAGCCCTTCTGCTTTTACACCTAAAACAAAATGAAAAAAGTGAAAATAGATTTTATGATCAAGTTAAAAAAAAAAGTTTCATCCTAAAAATAATCTGGTTTCTGAATAGCAGGACTACCTGTAGGAGATTTCAATTTCTGGTACCATGGAAGATGGACTTGTGTTGATTAAATGAATTAACACCTAAAAAAAGTTAACGCCATTTTGGCTAACCTCAAGCAAGTCAAAGACTGCCAAACTTCAGATTTCTCTCAGACATTGCTATTATAGAAGATTAGACAATGCAACACTGACATAGCTATTTTAATATGGCCCTAGAAGCCACTTTTGTCCCACCAAAAGTTCAGGTCAATTCACAAATCAAAATATAAGTAGACAAATTGTCTTGGATTCTATACGTTTCATATTGAGTTTAGATAGTATAGAATATTGCATGTATACACAACTATCATCGAAAATTAAGCTGGTTTGGGGCACACTTTGTTTTTTTCTGGAAGCTGAATTGGAATGATGAATACTTTTGTTCCAAAGACTGAATACTCTAGTACTGGCTTAAAAAAAACCACAAGAGAAAAAAATACAAAGAACAAGCATCAAGTACACGAAGAACTCATAGCCCATTTAATCTTTTCTTCTACAAGGTATATTTACAGACTTGTAGGTCTATAAATATTTTATACTTCTAGGAAAGCATGAGTTGTCATGTACAAGTCCTTTTTGTTTCATATTTCAAAGGTAAAACTGGTCCAAAAATGGGACACATTAGCACCCTTCACTTTTCCAGAGTGGAGCCAAAACAGACACTTACTTGGTAAGGCAAGAAGGCTAATGTACACGTTTAACTTCTCAAAGATGGCAGTCATCTTTTTCATATCATTGTGTAGCTCCAAATTCCTAGCTCTTAATGCAGCTGTGCAAAGAGAAGATTCACACTCTTCTTCCAAACTAGGAACATATGAATTTATTTTTAAAACTGAGTGGGTATATAGTCCAGCAAATAGATGATTTTCAGAAAAGATTTTGATAAAACTTAGACAGCACTAGGAACGTTTGAGTCAGAAAAGACAAGTGACAGAAGTGAGTTGAAACTTATTTTAAGGATCAACTAAAAATTCAAATAATATGGGGTTATTCACCATCTTCCACAAACTTGTTATTACTTTGCTACTGAAGATAATTATCAACATAGCGCTTAGGAGCCCAGATAATGTATCAATACATTACCATGGAAAATGTTATGGAGCTATCAGTGGGCGGGGTATTCCCCGATCCATTTGAAAACCTTCTGCTATACCAATAAACTGGTTGCACTTTTTTGTGGGAGTGGTGAGGGATGGGGCACAGAGCAGGGACAGGGAGACCTCCAGCATGCCTCTTTTCTTCCCTCAGCCAAATAACAGTTTGGGATTGTTTTCTCATCATAACCAATGGAACAGAATATGGCCTCTGCACTGAAATAAATAGAGAACATGAGACAAGATCTGTAAAAAGAGAGAGGCATGCACAAGTCTGTCTCTATCTCTCTCTCTTTTTTTTTTTTTTGTAAAGAAAGACATGCTGGCTACAATGATACAATTATCGCATGACATCCAAAATTGGGAGAGAACCAGGAAGTCCAGGATCTCAGTAGGCTGAAATTCAAATTGATTCTACTGCTGCCAAATTTCATGATTCTGCCACAAGGCTCATGCTATTTTTATTTTTCTAAAGGCCTGGTTATGAGCATTGAGAATCTTGGCATTTTTTAAGTAAAGTTTCTAGACTTCCTGGGTGTGGGAAAAAGAGGTAAAATGCCTGACAACTGTGGCCCATCTGTGGCATAAAGAGACTCACTGGAAAAACCACTATTTTGTTTTAAAAACAAAACAGAAACACTGCTTACTCCATCTGTGAGCAATTCAGTAATGCATTTAGAATCTAGAACTCCAATTTAACAGGCCAAAAGAAAAAAAAAGTACCTTTTTAACTGATAAGGAAGAATCTTTCTGAGAAAACATATGTATGTAGATAAGTGTTCTGAAAAGGCTTTCAATTTCACAGTTGTTTCCTAAGAAAAAGATAATAATGTACATAAGAGGTATTTGCACAGTAAAGATCTGCTTTTCATCAAGAAAAAAAAAAAAAGAGGATAAAAACCGTTACCAGCACAGTCACAGTATCTTCTGTAATACTCTCAAACAAGTGAAGCATTCCTTCCTCCAGGGGGCGAACATAGGATGCATTTTCATGAAGATACTGCGAGAACTGAATATAAAAACAGATTTATGTGGCATTTTCTGAGGCCTTTTACAAACCTTCTCCAGATTAAACAACTTAATATTTAACATCAATAACACCTTCCAGCTTGAAAAATCCCCAGGGATTTCACAAAGATGTGCAGCCACCTCTGTAGGGCACTGGACTCTACCACTATTATAAGGAGATACGTAGGTAAAGGAAGAACAGGGGCCCTGAGTATCGAGACAAGCCCCTACATAGAGGCAGGGGAGATCATTTTAATAGTCATGCATAGCACACAGAACCCTCTTACTTTTTTAAAAACACAGTAAGTCTTTGTTTAAGTCTTTTTAAAAGTCTCTTTAAAATGTTCTGACAACAACTTTCTTATTCTGCAGGTATCTTCTTCAGAACAAATATGATTTTAATGTGCATTTTTATTAGGTGATAACAATTATACATAAGAACAGTAACAGTGGCTTTAGACTGTCATGATCCCATATAATTTAGCAAAAATCTGCTGAACAGATGTATTTTTATGCTCATAAGCAGCAGATTTTTTTTCCTAAAGTATTTTTAGTTTATAAACATATACAATAGCACCCAATCAAATGTGCTCTATGGGTCCTACAATAAATAAATAAAATTATGTAGAAATGTAGTGTTGACAAATAAAAGGAAAGCGATGCTTATCTACCATGCATGCATGGAAAAACATGGATTGAATTAAGGGGAACTGACAAAATTAAGGACTGTTAGAGTAACATTATAGCCATGATGCTCCAGGAATTATGCAAGAGGCAAGGATCACTCAGGGCAATACTTTACTGGACCAACTGCACAGCTGGGACAGAGTTAAACAAGTTTTCAAATGTAAGATCTGAAGAAGAATGTCTTGTGTTCAAGAATTTGTCTAACTCTGGATTAACTATGTAGTTGGTCCAACAAACAACATCACCCTAAGAAATCCTTGCTTCTCACAAATCTAAGGATGAAGCACAAATATTTTAATGTTTGGTAGGAACACACTTTTTACCACTATATTATGTCAGAGAGTGAAGGCACAGGGATAAGGGGGAAAAAATGCCAATTTGTAATCAGACCCTCCCCCACAACCAAGAACTCGCATCATGGTAACATTCCTTGACCTAGGAAAGGCTACTCCCTCAGAAACTTGCCAGTACTGTTCCCCAATAAGGGTCAAAAGACAACCTTCCCACAAAAATGTTTAGAGATACCTTCTAATTTCTGAACAGTATTAGCCAAAGTCGGTCAAATTTACCTTCTGATTTAGTGGTGATATAGTGTCTGTGGCAGAATCAATGGGAAAGATCTGAACTCTTTGTTCCGTGTAAGTATGAAAGTTCAGAAGAGCAGTCACAAGATCATGAACAAAAGCAAGTGCCTGTCCAGCAAGGTCTCGCAACTTTAGCTTAAAAAAAAAAAAAAAAGTTAAATAAGTCTCTAAATAAAATTTATTAAGGGTATGTTTTATTAGCTACAGCTTTCATAAAGTCTGCTTTTGTAGAGATTGCTGCCTAAAATATATGACACAGACTTAAGAACTTAGCCACTTATATTTTTAATGCACATCTTAATGTGTGGGTAGCAGAACTAATAACCCACCTAAAATTGTATAGCACTTCTCTAAGAATGCTTTTATACCAGGCAGCATTGCAAACATTAAAACTAGAGTCAACAAATTAGTATGCATCTGGTTTTGTACTACAGGGTCAGTCTGTTAACCTCACAGTCCCATACGCCTGTAAGGGAGATTGCTTCTCGTACTGATTCCGTTAGTCCCTAGCACTGAGCAATAACTGGAAACTAGTCAAATCTCAGCCACAAAATAGGACAACAAGTTCATGGCTATATTCTGCAACTGATGTTGCATTCAGCAGTTCCTCTTCCCTTTCTTAACCCCAGCAGTACTGTACAACAGGCCTGTGTGAAGTGGGTAGTATTCACTTTGGATTCGGTCGATTTGGGGGACAGCAATTCAATTCGCTTCCACGAGCCCCCCCAAACCCTGAGGCCACTGCAGGGGCTGGTGAGTCCAGGTGGGTTTTTTTGGTGCTGTTTTTTTTTTTCCTTAAAGGGCCAGAGTTGGGGCAGGCAGGGTAGCCATGGAAGGGCTGGGACAGCAGGGGGGAGGGGGGGAGGCAGGCTCATGCAGAGCCCCCCCACATGGTGTGGGACAGTGTGGGGCAGCAGGGATGACCCCCCCGCCTGGCAGCATCTGGTGAGTCAGGGCTCCCCCATACAAAGTACAGGGAGCTGGGGTGGGCTTCAAATCTATTCAGACTTTTATACTGGTTCCCTGAATTGATTCGGATTTGGAGATTTGGCCACCGAATCGGGCCAAATCTCCTCCAAATCAAATCAGCGCCCAAAGCTTCATACAGTTCTACTATACAAACCATATGAATCCACACCTTCAATGATAAACTGGGAACAAGAGACACATAACCATTAGGCAAGGACAAATGGATTGGATATAGTCAATAGCTTTTCTGATACCAGAGAGAAGCCCTGAAGACAACATGATGCTCACCTCACAGCAACAGAAACTTCATAGCTATACTTTTAAGTTGCAACTGTTGCGTTCCCAAATCTTGTGCATATCTGCACCTATCTTAAGTCCCCATATTTATGGCAAAAGACCTTTGCAATATGAAGCCATATAAAAAGCTACTTACTTGATATCTTTTGTTGTGCAATGGTACATTCAGAGCATTATAATAACTAGATTCTACAAGACAAAAAAAACCTGACAGTTACATATGGACTTTTGGGTTTTCTCTCTTTTCAGCAGCAGCTCTGTGCCAAATGTATTTGTTTTAAATAAAGTGGCATGTTTCAGTAATGCAGATTAAATGCTTAGGTTCATAAATTTTTCATAGTTAATGAGATTTGCCACAATTTGAGAGTAAAAACCTGTCACTGACTAACAACTCTTTTTACTTATTCTTTGTTTGTAATTCTCTCTTGTGCTTCATCAAAAAGAATAAATCAGCTAGCTCATGCCTAATATCAAAGAAATTATTCCAGGTGGGAGAAATGTAAAAACCCATCACTAATTTACAAGCAGGTTTTATCAACAGATACATGTGGCACTTTCAAATATATGCACATTCAAAGCCAACAATGTTTATTAAAAGATATAGTGATTTTGTTTTTATTTGACCATGGGTTCAGAGAAGCATTTTAATATTCCCCGTCCATTTTGTTGGAAACAGCCATGTTTTAAATCAATTTCCCCATAAACAGGAAAAAGTTACCCCCACCCCCACTGATACCTCATACTTCAGAAGGAAAGCCACACATGTACTGAAGCAAAAACATAGCGAACACACCACTCTTCCAAAGATTGGACAGCAATGAGTGGTTTCGGTTTACACCTGGGGTGTAACACTCACCTGACCCCACCAGCCTGATGAGTGGCCCCAGACCTGTCCATGGGCTGGATGAAGAGCAGATGACCAGTTTTGTGGGCAGGATCAGGTTTACAATTCCTCCTGGCCCCTCACATGCTGGATCCATGCCAGCAGTCCCTGGTCTGGATGGATTGGGACCGCAACACATGTGGTGCCTGCTCCAGCCAGTCCAGGGTGGATGCTGCATACATGGGTCCTGGCCTGGCTAAAGCAGGTGCCATGTGTGGCACAGTCCCAAGCCAGCAAAGCAGGCACCATAACTGGCACACAGGGGACCCATGGGGGTTCTTCAACGCCTGTAGGCTAGATCCAGTGCCCACTCTAAAGTAAGAGATTTGGGAGACCTGCTCCTTCCTGCCAGATTGAGCATATCTAGACTGGCCCCACACAGAACCAGCATTGGGGGCTGGATGACATAGCCCATGAGTTTCATCTTTGACACCCCTGGTTCACACCATGGTGATTCAAATGAGCTAGCACTATCCAAAGATATCAGACCTGCTTTCAACAGGCAGCAAGGAAACAAAGGCTGGTTAGGAAAGCAAATTTCACCTGTGTGAAAAGGGTTTTTTTGGGAGAGGTTGGGAAGGGTCTCTAAACAGGACAAAGCACCAAAGCCTCAAGAGCGGTCACAAAAAGTATCTGTGCAGCTTCGCTCTATGTTTTGAAAAAGCCAGATCATCCTCACCCTGAAATGTTACATCATTTCAAAGAGTAAAATATGCTTCTTTGCCTCCCAGGCTGCCTGGAAACCTGAAGGCCCCAGTTCTAGGACAGTCTACCAGATGATCTTCCAGAAAGCCCCAGGCTCTTCAAGAGGCCAACTTCCCAGATTTTCAGAAACTAATTTGATTAGGGAAAGGTTAAGGGCAATTTGCCCAGGTCAGGGCTCCTTGTCCCAGGCCTGAAACATTTTCTACAGAGCACCGTTAATTAAAATATCTATTTGTGGAAGAATAAAATAGCTTAAATTTTTGTTAAGTTGTAAAAGAGGCTCTGCTATAACCTGGAGGATTAATCATGCCTTTCTGTCTTGGGCAAGAGGAAAGTGGGGCAGAGAAGAAAATACAGCAGAGTTCTGAGTGAAACAGACGGACTAGCCCTATGACTAGTCCAGGTTCAGTGGTTGAATCTACTTCCTCAAACAGGGGAAGAGGAGAAAAACACCATGAAAATCATAAGGCCTGCTTAAGAACCTGAGAGACTGGATCAGGGCTTAGAAAATACAGAAGAATTCAGCTTGAATTTCCTACTGTTGATGAAATTCAAGTAAGGACAAAGCACCCGTGGGAAAAGGACACATTACATCTAAATGACTGTTTGCTCGTTTGAAATGTAACACCCTTACACATTAATACGGGCAAGAGTTGTCGACAAAGAAACTGTGGCCGAGGAATGGTTTCCCATTGATCCTAGGCAAGCTGACAGACTGCCATTACTAAATTAAAGTTTGTCTGTGGGACACTGAAGCTAGGTCTTTATTTGGAAATTCTGTAATGCCATATGAAAATAGGGTTTTCCAGCAGTAATTTAACAAGCACATTTCCCTTGCCAGAGAGATTTCTTGGCTACAACTATGTAAAGAACTCTCTTTGGGAGGATATGGGGCAATCCTGTTAATCAATCAATGCTCCCTATCAAAGTTAAGTTGATCAGCTAGACAAACTCTAGTTATTTTGAATAGAGGCAGTTCAGACAGCTGGCTTCCTGTTTCTTGGGATACAATGCCTACTAATATCACAAGGAAAGAATTTCCTTCAGCTGAATGGCCAAGAAAATGCAGTACCTACTTGTGTCATTGAAAGGTACTTTTTCACTGATGATGGATAAAGATTCATCCAATCGACTGCCCAAATCTGTATGAAGATTCTTCAACTGCTGCTGGCTGGATTAAAAAAAAAAAAAGTAATATCATCCTATGCAAGTAAATCAGTAATGTGTGAGTTATACCTTAACTTGTTGTTCCCTACAGTCAGCAAAAAAACCCTTTTTTTCCCTCCCAGAAGTTGTGAGTAAGGAAAAACAGGGATGGTGGGACTTTGACCTTTATCAAAATGAAAAAAGCAATCTAAATTATAAAAGTTCTTGATTTCTACCTCACACCCAGCGCAATAAGTGCAAGAAAAGCCAGAGCATTCTGGTTTTCTGGAGAACTTTAGGCTTTACTCTTAGTCATAATTTATCAAGTAAGTTTCTAAGCTGCATATAGAATATATACATTGTATAAGAAAAGCTAGTTGTACCCTAAAGCTGTACCCTTTACAGTGCACTGGAAAAACACTAGCTAACTCTAATCCTAAATCTGTAACCACCTTCTAGGATTGATAATTAAGTAAATGTCTGTGTATGTTGTGTAATGTTTTGAAATACTTACGGCAGTTTTCTACATTCTGTCTTTTGTGGGGTTAATCTAGTGGCTGTACTTCAAAAAACAAAAAGAAACCGTTGGCTGTGACTGCCAAATACTAGGGGGTACCAGATTCTGGAAACAGTCCATGCGAGCACAATTCATATAATCTTTCTGGCTTTTTCTACATGTATGTTTTCATTAAATTTACTCCTGAAAGTCTGCTGTTTTCAGTCCAAACTCCACACCTTACCCACCCTAGTTCTGGTATTTGTTATTCCTAAAAACTGATCCTCCAGTTTAAATCTAATACTTCGCAATTCCTTGTTTATTTCATCATCTGTAAAGCAAACAAGGAATGGACACAACAGTTTAATATACTTAATCCTGGAAGTACTGGGCACCACCACAAAGGGGCAAGAAAAATGTAGGCACAGATCAATGAGTAGTTTGGGCTATTTAGTTTTGAAGAAAGGATCTGCTTAAAGAACAGTGAAAACAAATTGCATGAAAACTCTGTAGAACACAAATGGAAATGTGTTAATAAACTGAAAGGTAAAGATAACTTGCAAGAGAAACAAAATAGCTCTTTTCTACATTTCTTTATGAGATAAAAAAATTCAAACTTTCTTAGAAGTGGAGAGAATCTAACTCCTGAGGAATCAAATCTTGAGGAATTTGGGACCTGGTGACTGTCTATAAACTCACTAGGGGGAACCAGAAGGGTTTGGGAGAGACCTTGTTTCCCCTAGCGCCCCCTGGCATAACAAGGAATAACGGCCATAAGTTGTTGGAGAGTAGGTTTAGATTAGACATCCGTAAGAACTACTTCACAGTTAGGGCGGCTAGGATCTGGAACCAACTTCCAAGGGAAGTAGTGCTGGCTCCTACCCTGGGGGTCTTTAAGAAGAGGCTTGATGCCTACCTAGCTAGAGTCATTTGAGCCCAGTTTTTCTCCTGTCCAGGCAGGGGGTCGGACTTGAAGATTTACAAGGTCCCTTCCGACCCTACTTCTTCTATGAAAACAACCCCCACCCCCAGACTTGTCCTCCCTAGTTTTTGTGAAAGAGGTCCCTAGGATTTCAACTATATTTTCTAAGCCTGCTCCAATTCAGCTAGAAAACGATCGTAGGCAGACGTGTTTCATTATTAATGAAGCTGGCCTTTCTGCCAAGTGTGTATTAGATATTGGGTTAAAAAAAACCCCAAACAAACAAACCAACCCCCAAGTGTAGTACAAAAACTCTTTCCTTCCCAAATCCTAGAGGCCATCTTTTTGGGATGTCACAAGTTCACTAATTATCCAGTCAACACAGAGTCCAGGAAAGAGGACCTTTTAATTTTAATATATTGGAAAAACAACAGAGAAAGTCTTACTTCATTTTCAGACTTACATCATAAAAAGATGTCCATAGGAAAATGGCAACCATTACTTCCCTTTTCCAAGGGATGTTTAAATCAGCATCAGTTAAGTAGTCAAATGCCACAAACAGTTTAGGACATCCAAAATAACTCTGGGATTATTACGAGGAGCATTTTGTACACAATATTCAGTAACTCTGACTTAAGCAAAAGTAGATAAATTTTTATTCCCAATACGTTCACCAGATAAATGCAACTGATATTAGAAGAGTAACAAAATATTTTGGAGGAAATCTAATATTAAAAGGTGTTGAAATTTTTCTCTGGGCAGGTTTTTGAGAGCTGAGATCTGATGACACACTTTTGTCAGAAAGCTTGTTTAAAGTCCTTACTCTCTCTATACTTGACCCAAAGGACAAAAACAAGAAATACCATGAGTACACTATGAAACTAGTATTCCTCCTTGACTTTGCCCATTTGGCAGCATCACCAAACACAACTGCCTAGTTGGATACAGAAGAGAAGAGAAACCTTTACAGAAGAATTTAGTAGGTGATGAACACTGAGTTGAGCTCAGTCAGTATTTCTTTGTCCTAAATATGACAAAAAGTGGCAGATGTTTTTACTTGCTTCATAAAAATTAACAAACCACAAACTTTAACGAGCCCTCATGTTTACAAGAAAAAAAAAGTGTGTATAAGGTTGTTCTGCAGTGCCCCTACATTAAAGGAAATACATTAAAGAAATGATTAATGAAAAAATAAAGATAAGCAAGCTATTTTCCTCATGTGCAAGAAGCTTACCATTCTTCTGTTCGAAGCCTACAGTCCTTGGCTTCTCTTTCTAGTGCCTGAGACTTGATCTTTAGATATAAAAATCAGAAACCCAAAGTAAGCACAGTTACATGTAACAAGTCATTTTAAAAGCTTTTTAGGCATTAAGCACTACAGTAATGCTCACTTCTAGTTTGGCTTTATCATTCTGCAGTTTTTCAATGGTCTCCATGTATTTCCGGGTTAAACCATCTACCACTGCTTGATGCTGGGCAGCATCTGTTTCCAAAACCTCAAGCCTACTTCTTAGCTCGGCTTCTAAACGTTTGTGCTGCTCATCTGCTTCAAAGAACTAGAAAAAGAAAAAAGAAGCTCTTATTTGAAAGTTTAATTTTCTTTCAATATTTTAAAGTCACATCTATACATATTAACCTGATAGACTCCACCTATGAGAGACAGCTTAGCAAGGTAAATGTTCCCATGTAACACTGTACCACAATGGTAGTCAGAGGTATTAACTGGACAATTCTTTTTGAAAATAAACTTTAAAATAAGAATTTGGTGAATTCACAAAACCTTTTTTTGGCTGTGAAGTTGTATTTAAAGTGTTCCAAAAAGATCTGAAACAAATAGTAGTTTCCAAAAACTAAACATTATAAATTTGTTTCACAATTTTATGTAGTTTGATTGAATAATAAAGCAAAGGTCAAATCAAAGCACATTCTAACTGACGCAAAATTTATTTTTTTCCAAGGTTACAATTTACTAACATATTTCCATGTTTTGATTTTCATACCAAACCACACACAAAAAAAAAAAATCAAAATTCTGAGGTTGCCAGTAAACCAAAAACCCTATTTTGCACCTAAGTCTGCTTAAATGGGCTGTGTCAAAATATCTGACCTCCCCAAAGGCAATGAAGGATAAGGATGCTGTTACATATTCTGAATACTTTACCAATCATCATCTAATTCTAATAATTCTGTTGCTTGACACACCAACATTAATTCAACACAGAAATAATAGAACTATTTGGTGTGCACCAATGATTCAGATAACCATTAAAAGCATTTCATTCTCTATTTTCACTACAGTTCTTCTAAAATGAGAACTAAGTAGCCTGCAATTTTTTATTTATTTTTTAATAGTTCACTCCCTTTCTCCATCTCAGCTCTCACATACCAAGCTTTCTGACCAAAGGAAAATTCTTTGAGATCCACTCACTTGTATATGAAGTCTTTCATTCTCTTCTATCTTCTTTTGAAGATCTTCATTAAAGACACTTTTCTGTTCTTGACTCAACTGAGATGAAGATTCTCCACTTTTCTGAAAAGAAAAGAAAAAAATATTTCTATTTACCTATGAAACTTTTAAGGGTGCTCATTATGCTATGTGAATGCATTTAAGGTTGGGTACACATTTCTCCAAGAGAAGCAGCAATTAGCTGTTGGAGAATACGTCAGCCTGTCAAACTCTCAATATTTCTTACCACTACATACAAGTTCAATGGCTTCACCCAGATCTCTGCATCCATATAAAGGCAATTATGGGGTGTAGCATGTAGAGTTGTTTGTCATCCCCAGTCTGCAGAACAGAACAGAGAGTGTTTGTTTTCCCCATGCTTCTGGACTGGGTGTTGGTTGTAGCTAAGGCTGCAGATTTTGATGGGTGTGCCAGTTCTCCTTCTGGAATTAAAACCGAGAGACTGCTGGCTAGACAGTCTTATTTGCTACTCTGGGTGAGACTATTTGCCACATTCAGGAATCGGGAAAAATTTTTACTTTAGTAAGATGAATGTGGACCTTGGGGTCTTTTTCCTTCCTCTGTAGCAAGGCACTCAGTCCTCTTCCTTGGGTCTCCTGAGTGTAATTTAACAACCCTTGCCATAGTGGGACATTGACACCACTGGGGCCTTCCCCATGCTTTACCTTAGACAGGTTAGTGTGTTTTTGTCTTTCAGCTACAAATAAAATTGCTCAAAGACAGGGCTGTTCTGTAGTAGTTTTAGGAACAAGTTAAACAAGCACTTGTATGGGATGGTTTCAATCCTGACTTGGGTAAAAGGATAGGGCTGGATGACCTCCTGAGGTCCCCTCCAGCCCTACTTTTCTATGATAAAACTCTAAGTTGCAGTAAATAGAGAAACAGGAATGACCAAAATGGATTTTGAGGATCAAACAGTAAAAGTATACATACCCACTCCTCCTCTCCTCAAGACAGAAATGGTAAGCCTGTTTAATCACCAGGTGCTAAATAGAGTAATTATGGAAGAGAAAGATGTTGCCAAGACGCTAAATGATCTCTCTGATTACATCTTCAGAGGTTGGGGAGATACCCATTATGGACCTGCTCTTTTCTGGTAAAGAAGGTGAGGTCCTCCCAGAGAGGAAGTTGTCATAAGTAGTAGTGTTGGAACATACTGGTGACCTAGAGAGCAATACATTCTTAGGTCCAGATGGCATATACCTAGAATTCTAATATTGCAAAAGGATGTAGTAGATGAATTACGACTAAAAACCTATCCACTGTTACAGAGGACTAGAAAATAGCAACGTACCTATTGCACCTCGAGATTGTTCAGGAAATTCTAGGAACTGTTTAAGCTTTACATCTGCCTCTAGCAAATGGGCTGCAACAATTAAGATCCCCTGAAAATAATGATCCAATTGGGTCTATCTGACATCATCTGGACAAAAAAGGGAAATTAAAAACAAACAAAACCCAACTCACTAATCCTGGAATTCTCTGCATACCAAAATGAGATCTTGCTAAGCTACACTGATTTCCAAATGTCTCTAACGCGGTCCTATTGAAGTGGTTAATAAAAAAAACACATACATGTAAGCCAAGAGGCAACTTATTGTTATAAAATCAACAACTGGCTAGAATTTAGAAGCAAAGAGGAAGTCTTTGTCCTGTCAGTTTCTGTCATGGAGGAGGGTTAGACAGCAAGTTCTCAATTCTGTGCTAGTTGTTCAAATGTATTAAAAGATCTGGAATGGGGTTGCAATGAAAAAAAATGAAATTTAATGCTGACAAACATGCATCAGAGAGATACGTTGAGCAAGATTACAAGCAACCTGCATCATCTCATTATATAAATCAGTATGCCTACATGTATGTATTTTTATGGACAGAGCTTATTGGACAGGGTATTTGGTTTAACCTCTGGGACAAAGTAACTTCCATTAGTAACAAAATTTAGAGGTGCACCAATACATTGGTCTGATATCAGATCGTTACAGCATTCTAGCCCAGCCTCTGGCATGGATCTTTGAAAACTCCTGGTGCTCTGGTGAAGTGCCTGAAGACTGGAAGAAGGCCAATGTGGTGCATATCTTCAAGAAAGGGAGGAAAGTGGATCCGGCTAACTATAGGCCCATCAGCCTGACTCCTATCCCAGGGAAGATCTTAGAAAAGTTTATTAAAGAGGCCATCCTTAATGGACTGGCAGATGCTAACATCCTAAGCGACAGCCAGCACGGGTTTGTTGCATGTAGGTCTTGCTTGACCAATCTCATTTCCTTCTATGACCAGGTGACCTATCCCCTGGACAAGGGAGAAGAGA